TGAGATGAGTTCACGATAATGAACAAGAATAGAGATAGGTTCCTGTGACAGCTCTTAGTGTAAATATTTTGAACAAATGGCCGACTTGTTATCGCTAGTTTCGTAGGTTCGTCTAAGGGCGTTCACTCTCTTTAAAAAATATTTTAGTAAGTCGTTATATCTAAATTAAAAAAAAATAGAAAGAAACAATTTGGAAATGTTTATATTATGTTGGCTGTTTCTTAAATTTTAAACCGATTTAACTTTTTTTTAAAAAATCACAATAATTTGTGAACAGTTCAGTACACCTCCCTACACAGGGCAAGTAGAGTCAACCTGATTCCCTGACAGAGGTAGAATAAATGATGGTATCATTAAAACAAGGCCCAGACGCCTTTACTTTTTTCCCAATGGAATCAAAACTAATACATGGATGGGTGGAAAAGGGACCTTTCTGACCCAAACCCTAGAATCGAACTCACGACTTTCGGGTTATCAACTCTCCTAAATACCGGCGACAACAATATTGAACAAGACTATAAGTTTAATACATCGTATATCAGAAGGAATTGATTGTAAATTCGATGTGAGCAGTTCTGTCTGAAGTCGCTGTCTGTCTTAACGTTTGAAGCACATCCTATCTTCCATGGTGGGCTGTTGCCTATAGTTGAAACACAATGTTGTCGTAAAATTTCAATTATCACACAGCTAATAATAGTTGTATCCTTTACCTGTGTCGGGATGACCTTAAATCCACACCACCCCACCCTTTTCACCACAAAAAAAAAAAAAAAAAAAAAAAAAAAAAAAAAAAAATATCCTCCTAGGCATATGATACAACGAAAAAGCCACTTAACGATCGCACCAGAAAAGCCATGTTAATAAATGGCTTTACCCCAGGACGTCGAACACAATTTTTTTTCTCTGTATCGTATTCTAGTGGCCTACACCTTACGGGTAGCAGCATCAAAGAGGAGCTTAGACGGAACACCGAGCTCCAATCAGCGCCCAATCCTATTAACACTAGCGTGACACTCGCGGATGGCACCGTGTTATCTGGCGCTCAATGCACCCCCCACCCCTACCCCTACCCCCACCCCTAAGTCCTAGTGCTGAGAACCCCACGTAACGTGTCCACGTACAGTCTAGCAAAATTTGACGCCATCAAATTTTTTTTCTTTAATATTTTGAAAAAAAAAATTTACATTGCCAGATTTTTTCGGAGTTTGTGTTCTAAACACGATAAGACTTGACAGGTTGTACAACACGTTTTGTGGAAAATCGATTGTTGCCACTAATTTTTTTTAATGTGTCAAAATTCATGCTATTAAATGTTACATTTAAAAAAAAATGAGTTCAAATAATAAAACATCCATGACTTTGGCAAAGCGTTTCTCTAACATTAGGCCTACTTGTAGACTTTATTTCTGGAAAGAAAGAAAAACATGTTTTTTTTTAACTTAACGCTTAAAATCAAAGCTCACAAATTGCGAGTAAAAGCGTCAAAACTTGCTTCATTTTCGACAAGAACGCAGCATAAGGGGCCACCACCCGCGGATTTTATTCTCACATGAGTGATACTGCAAGCTAGAGTTGTCTTCCCATTATGTCATGTAGAGTTAGCTTTCCGGGAAGGAGATTAAGATGGCGGGGGGAAGGTGGGGGGGGGGGGGGGGGAAGGGGGGTGGTTGGACGAGGTAGATGACTTACGGAAAAAAGAAAAAGGTAAAAAAGAAATGTTAAGATGCTTTACTGGTCTCTGGGAATAGTTGAAGTCACGTGATGCCCGCGTTGTTTGACACATTGTTCACGGCCCAACGATTAGACTTCATACTCGGTTTGTTCGGCGTGAGTTGTTTGTTTATTTCTCTGTATGTCTTCCTCTCTCTCATTATCCATCTGTTTGTGTGTATGTGAGTGAGTGCCTAGCCCCTTCTCCCCCTGTCTCCCTCTTTATTTCTCCCAATTTTCTCCTCTCACTCTTTATCTTTTACTCCCTCCTCATCTTCCCTCCCCCTTCCCCACTCTTATTCTCATTCCCTACTCCTCTTCCCCTTCCCCACTATTCCCCCTCATTTCCCTCTTCCGCACACCTCGCACCTTCTCCCCTTCCTCCTCCTCCTCCTCTCTCTCTCTCTCACGACCATCCAACACATTTTCTGCAGGTGCTGTCTTTAAACTTGTCCCACTTACTTCCCTTGCCTGACTTCCTGCTTCTGTCGCCTGTTCTTACCTCCCTTTACATTTTCTTAATGAAAAATTACATCTTTTTAGAAAAAATACATTCAGTCTACTTCTGCTCTATACGTTCATTCACTGTACTTCTGCTCGTCATCCTTGTACCACCTTCACACCCTCACACCCTCAGCCCCACACACTTACTCACACACCCGTCCAATACCACACACGGTGTTTGCAACACTGGCCATAGTTAGAGAACCAAGTCCCGGTACCCCTGCCACGACTAGTAGTAAATTATGCAGCATTGGTTAATTATCTCCCTTGGCATGGCTGTTTGGGCTGTTTCGTAAACGAACCGCCTTTTCACACACACACCACACCACACACACACACACACTCACTCTTACACACACCACACAACCTCACTTTCCCCGCTGTCTATCTTGAATTGAGACCTCCAACTAAATAACTAATTCGGATTTTAAAAGAATCATTCCTTAAAGTACGTTGTTATTAGCTCCAAGAACGCACTGTGAAACAGGACTAAAATAGCATGCAGTACACGGAAAAATAGTATATGTTAATTAATTTTACTCTTCTACACGTTTATTATGGTGAAACGAAAGTAATTAGTGTGCACATGAAATGAAACACAAACCGAAAACACTAAAGAAGATCTAGTTTTGTCAGACTCGTTTTGTTTCAAACTCGTTTTGACAAAAAATCGATATCAAGATTGTTTCATTTCTAAAGTAATTAATGCCAATTTAAGATTTTTATTAGATTGTTGACGTTGGAGTTTGCATGGTGCGGAGATTTCATGACAGCGCTCTGCTTTGACAAACTCTCCAAGACAAAAATGCAAATGTAATTTGTTACGCTGTCCCTGATTGGTTGGGATTTGCGAGTAGCTCGTGCGAACTGACCCGGGGGTGGGGGAGGGTGTGAGGGGATAGGGAGGTAGATAAAATGCCGCTCACGTTCTTTGATTAGCCCTGGTCAATTTGTAATTATGATGGTCCGGGGCTAAGGCGAGTGACGTCATAGTGGCGTCGATGTGACGTAATGAGAGACATTTTTGTGATATGACGTCATGATGATGTAAAATGACGATTACGTAAATAGATAATGGTATATATGTCTTATTCAAATATTTCTTTCTTGGCTTTTAAGATTTGAATCACTGTAGAGTTGCATGTTACATATTGATAAGTTAGCGACTAGTTTGAGATATGACTTTTAAAGATATCAAGTCGATTTATTGCATCAAAAGAACCTAGAGTCATGTTCTGCCCTATACGCCCCTTGCACATTTAATCTTTTTTAGTGGCTTTAAATAATCTCTGTACCCACCATCCCTCGCTCCGTGACGTTGTTCCGGTCTGTAGGAGGGGTGTGCTTCCCCTAATGGCTGAAATTGTTCGACTTTCACACTCCTTATCATCCTAACCTTTAGCCGATCACTGCTATCTAGCGGGGTCTAATCCCATCCGTAGGTCCATACATATTGTGTCTATGTATATAGTATCCTTGCATATGATGGCCATGGCTATACTGGCCATACATATAGTGGCCATTACAAACATGGCCATGTCTATAATGTCTATGCCTATAGTGGCCACGTATATAGTGTCAAAACATATAATGAAATAACCAGTGCATATAACAACTACTTGGCGAATAACAAAACAGACTATTTCTGAACTGGTATGACTACATGCCAACTGTTACAGTGAACTATTTTTTTACGTAACTGTTGGATTAAATAAAACAGCTAAAAATCGTTACATCACAATTTGATCGAGCAAAACCCTTAACATAACAATTTTACCATGTGAACATATTTACATAACAATCTAACTAACAACATATTTCACGAAAACAAAATTTCACCAACCCACAAAAGCTTAGATCCCCTTCCTGCTTTCCTTAATCGAAATAAATACACCTAGACCCTCCTCACCCATCTTTCAGGAGTAGAGGTGAGACACCTTGATCCCCCCCCCCAGGGGTAGAGGTAAGACACCTAGATCATCCCCCCCCCCCTCACCCATCTCTCACGGGGTAGAGGTAAGACACCTATATCCCCCCCCCTCCCCCCCCAGGGGTAGAGGTAAGACACCTATGTCCCCCCCTCACCCCCCCCCCCCCCCCCAAGGGGTAGAGGTAAGACACCTACCTTATCGTGCGGGCCAGGAATCTCTGCCCGATAGAGCCACGCTTCCCCCCCGAGGCGCGTGCCGCTATGATAACAGGTGAGATAAAACATTACCTCGCTGAGGTATCACCTCATCGCGCTGGCCGTCAAGTCCTGTCACCTGTCTGAGGCGAACGTCTTTATCTCTTTTCAACTTTTTATCTTTGTTAAATGCTCCGTCTATTTTACCTCGGTGGATTACAAAGCTTTTCTACAACTTCATTTTTCCCTAGACTGTTTACAAAAAAAAAAAAAAAAAACCGTATACACACCTACATTTCTAAAAAGCATATATATATATATATATATATATATATATATATATATATATATATATATATATATATATATATATATATATATATATAATGTATGTATATCTGCCTGTTTCTCAGACGAAGACATTTAGTCAAGTCAATGATTTCTCTGTTATTTGTTATTGTTGATATTCTTATTGTGTTCATATGGGCCCACATAAATTATTATTTTTGTCTATGAAAGTTTAGAAATATTCAATCATGCTGTGTAAAATGTTTTCGTCATTGAATCTGTCAGTAGTTGTGTGTGTGTCATGATATATTAGATTATACCGACTGCTGTTTTAAATTATGATACTGATGTATGATGTTTGTTTTTTCAACAGTTGGTGACGAAGACGAAGAAGATTTTTATCGGGGGTCTGTCGTCCACTACCACGATTGATGACTGCAAGAAATACTTCTCACAGTATGGAAAGGTAAGGGGGTCTTTTGTTAAAACGGGTGTCAGTGTCTGGGGTTCAGTAATTGGGGGGGGGGGGTCAGTGTAAAATGGGGTTCAGTGATTAGTTGGGGGGTCAGTGTCTGTGGGGTCAGTAATTGGGGGGTCAGTAATTAGTTGGGGGGGGGGGTCAGTGTAAGTGGGGGTCGATAATTAGTGAGTGCCATTTGAGGGGGGGGGGGGGGTTAGTGGTAGTTTAAGTTATAGTCAGTGTTAGTGGGGGTACAGTGTGGCAACGTGAGGGTTTGTGTGGGGGATAGTGTGTGGTGAGTTAGGGAGTCACTCTAGAGGTTTGTGTGGGGCTGGTGTGAGGGTATGTTGATGCGGTAGTGTGTGTGTGTGGATCATTGGGTGTTACCTTTTTAACTGCAATAAGTTATTTTAGTTATGGGTTTACATGGGGGTCAATGTCAAGATTGGGGTCTGTGTGTAGATACATGGGGGCTGCTTGTGAGTGCGTGTGGGTGGGGGAATAATATATGTATCATCAAGGGACAATTGTTTTAATTAGAAGCTAAGCATGTCAATGTGTGTGCTATATCAACACTGTAATAAATATTTCAACTTAACATGTATAAAACCACCACACTACTACAGACAGTACCACCCGTATCACACCACCACAGCACAATCACAAATAGCACACACTACAACAACACCTGCAGTGCAACCACAGTAAAAAAAAAAACACATCAATTTTACTTCTTCAAAACGACCACTTTCCTACACTTCACCGCCCCTATCACCCCCACTCTCCTGTCACCCCAGCTATTAATCACGTATTAATCTTCCTACCATGTCAGATACTCCCCCCACCCCCCTCCCACTCCGCTATCAAACAGTCACCACTACACACCATTACGCTTAAATTACCTCTCCCCAAACCTATTTTACACTATATCAACCAAACACAAAACACCTTTTCAAAACGCATTAAAAAACAGACCGCAATATCCCAGATCCCATTTCATGATCTGCCCACCATATTAAACGCACCCCCCCTCCCCCACCCCTGGCTTTCACAACCGATTGTACCTATCATACCCATTAAACACTCGCCACACAGGTGTGAATGGGTAAATACAAACACTTATCATTCCCTCCCCTTTCTCTCCCAGGTTATTTATAGCGGGAATTAAAAAAAACATAACCGGGTAGTTGCTTGCTGTATGCATATACTCCAATCGGTTTGTTTCGCTAAAAAAATAAAAGTTCATATTTTTTTTTACCGATTGACCTGATATCAGATAACGTGGAACACGTTTTAGCAGAGAAGTCTGTTTATAACACAGACAAAAGTCTGGTGTATATCTGTCTGTAATGACTAAACAGGAGAGAAAAATATGGAGTGCACTTCGCAGTGGTGAAAACCACGTGATACCACCCCCACACCCAACCACGTGATACCACCCCCACTCCCAACCACGTGATACAGCCCCCACCCCCAACCATGTGATACCACCCCCCACCCCTAACCACGTGATACCACCCCCACCCCCAAAACACGCGATACCACCCCCACCCCCAACCACGTGATACCACCCCCACCCCCAAACACGTGATACCACCCACACCCCCAACCACGTGATACCACCCCACCCCCAACCACGTGATACCACCCCCACCCCAAACCGCGTGATACCACCCCCACCCCCAACCACGTGATACCACCCCCACCCACCCACGTGAACCACCCCCACCCCACGTGATACCACCCCAACCACGTGATACCACCCCCACCCCCAACCACGTGATACCACCCCTACCCCAACCACGTGGTACCACCCCCCACCCCCCCACCCCCACACGCACAACTTCGTCAAGCAGGCACTAGACATGATCCGGTCCATTGATTGGATCAGTTCGAACACGTCGAGAATCAATGCTGATTGATGGTCATCGATGTACGGGACTGAGGATTCCGGGAGACACGTGACACGACGGTAAAGATGACGTGTCATAGCAGGCGTGTGGCTGGTGGTCGGGGTGGGGTGAAGTCATTTGTGTGGTGCTGGTTCGAATCTCAGACATTCGTGTTTTTCAGTTATAATAGTATACCTTAAACCAGCAGTTCTATTTTTTAAGTACAGATCAAGCTACACGCGATAATAACCAAAATAGAGAAGCTATATACCGCGTGTAATCATTACGTGTGTAATGACATAATGACACCCACGCTGACCCACACACAAATCACACAGGCCCCGCCCATCGCCCTCCCACATTTATAAACTTCATTTTATAAAGAAGTGCGATTTAAAATAAAATTTTAAAATAAAAAAAAAATTATATGTATAAATCTAAAAAACCGGACTTATTAATACGAGATAGGGAGGGTTAATCTTATAATATAAAAAGAAATAATAAAATATTAATACCGATGATTTTTAGAATTTTCAGTTACAACCCTTCCCCCCCCCCCCCCCCCTCCCCCTAACAACAACAGCAACTAATGTTAGAAGCAGAATATTGAAGGGGTTTTTTTTCAACAAGGTCTCGACACTCCGAGAGTGTCACTACTAACGACATGAGTAGCGTAGTGGAGTGTCGACGGTACGTTAACCACTCGCCTGCGCACGCTTTGTTCTATATATCGATACACAATCAATTGAGGTGGTGATGGATGGTGGACCCTAGCGGTCGTTACCTTCCCAGTGGATTAGTGGCGGGGTGGGGTGGCCGGGGTTACGATGGGGTAGTCATCTGTATCACATCTACTCTTGTACACACCTGCATGGGTCTAATAGGGGTCTGCTCGGAAGCTAAGGTATGTCAGTCAGTCGGGGTCATTTAAAGTCAGGGTCTCACAACTATCTACATTGCTGGCTACCTGAAAATTATATGTGTTACAGTTTTCTGTTATAAATGTATAACTAGTCTGTTCACGTTGATTGGCAGTGCGTAGAAACCCAATATACGAACACACAAAAAATAGTGAACAGGGAGTAGTTAAGCAGTTCAAGAAAATGTGTATGTAAAGCGGTCGTTGTTTATTTTTCTAAAATGTTGTGTAAAGCTCATTATCTGCGCGACCTAAATTATCTTGTTTAACTCTTTTTTTTTTGCTCTTCTTTTAGAATATTTTAAAGTAAAGAAAAAAAAAATCTTTGTAAAAAAAAAGTGTTTGTAAAAGTATTTTTGAGGATGTTTATAAGATACAAAAAAAAACTAAAATAAAAAATTAAAAAAAAAAAAAACGAAGTCTATGTTCCAAAAAAATGATTGCTTAGTCGTGTAAAAAAAAAAATTGCGAAGTCTTACTTTCCTAGGATACCTTGCGTTAGTCGTCATTTAAAGATTAGAACCATCCGACCTTGACCCATACACCATCACGTCAGCCAACCGTAGCCATCTGCCAACACCTTTTTACCCCGCACCACCTCACAAATTACCTGCCGTTTTTGAAGGGGAACGAAAAACACAATTTCACTTTTTTATTCTTTTCCTGACGCCTTTGTTTGGTTAAAAAAAAAACGGCTAATGAGTAATTAAAAGGAACAAAAAAGTTTCGTAAGTTCTGTTTTAATTAGCTTTTAAACAAACATTCGTGAAATTGTTATAAAAAGTTCTAGTTTTGGAATGTGAAAATGTAGTAGGGGTGTCTGTATTATTTCAGTTATTTTAAATAATTTTGAAAGATCTGATTGGACAAATGACTTGCGAAAGCAATTTTAGAGGCGTGGCCACGCGCTTTTGCTTTGCAAAATGTTGACCACACCTTCCCTTCATATGCCGAGGTCAAAAAAACATATGAACTCTACTTTATCTGAGACGATTCTTTACTTTTAGAGCACTTATAGTCGTGGTCGAACGCAAGCCTCCTAACCCCAAGCCAAAAGTCTTGAGTTCAGATCCCGTTCTCCGCACGACTTCCCTGAGTCCACCCGGTTGTGATACGAAAGTAGAGGCGGCTGGGCATAGAACCAACAACAACAATTTGATCTTTCAACATGAATGAAACAGGTGAATTCTACTTCATCTACTCTGTTTAACTACAAGTTCGAACGAGTATTTTTCAGCTTTCTGCTCCGGGGAAAAAAAAAAAAAAAAAAAAAAAACGCGATTTTCTTACTGTTCACATTTCGTAACTGTCCATCTACCCTCAACGTAATTATATCTTTGAAGCCTTGTTGAACCGGTAATGCGCTTGGGTTGATATTCGCATGCGTGCATGTAGTGCACGTGCGAACGTGAGAGCTTATCTTGTATCTACTTATCTGAGCAGCATGACAGCCAGCAGAACTGAACAAGTAGACATTTGCCAAGACAAGTTGGTCTACGTTTGTGTCTGCTTTTAACACCTGTCTCAATGATTTTGTTTCCATGTGTCTGTCTTCAACATGTCTCAATTTACAGTTCTACATGTAGCTGTGGTAATGTCGGTTGCATCAATCTAACACACTTGACCCACTTTTAGCTGTGGTCATTTCAGCCCCACCACCACAACACACATGACCCACTTTTAGCTGTGGTCATTTCGGCCCCACCACCACAACACACTTGACCCACTTTTAGCTGTGGTCATTTCGGCCCCACCACCACAACACACTTGACCCACATCCTGGCCGGGTCTGCTGGCCCCGTGTTGGTCATAAATCTTTCATCAGCAACCATCTGACGGTCAGTTCCTCATTCCCCGGGCCCTGCTCTCCCCATCCCCCCTCCATCCTTACACATCTCTCTCAGATTTTAAGGACACCCCCTCCCCCCCCTCTCTTGTTTTGGCTGGACACTGTCCAGTTGTTTCCCCGCCAGCCATCGATTACTGCACGCTGACCGCGGTTAGAACGGGCCTCGTTCGTCTTCTGTCCGTTTCTCTTTCCGTTTCTAGCAGAAGATTGTGGACAGGGAGGAACTATTGTGCGTGAGTGTGTGTGTGTGTGTGGGGGGGGGGGGGGTTGAAGTGGACGTTGGAGGTGGTAGGTTTTGGGGACGTAGGCGGAATCGCTGTTGAGGTTGGAGGTGGGTGTTTAAAGC